TGCGCCTCTGGAATGCGTTCGCGCGCCGTTTCTTGGAATTCGGCCAGAAACACTTTACCTGGGCTGCCGAAGAGGTGCGGCGGCACGCGCGCCAGCAAAGCGACGGCAGCGTATCGACACACTTGCAGCATCAACAGAGCAGCATCATAGCAGCAGGCAAAGCAGGGCGCAGGCACAGGGCAGCAGCAGGCAGCAGCAGCAATAGTAAGAGGTATACGTGATAACGATATTCGTCGCTTAAAACGCCATGCGGCGATAGAATGAACGACGTCGGCGACGACGACGATCGACGATGACGAAAATGCCGGAAGAGTAGGCGAACATCAGCAGCCATTGCAGGCGGCGTCTAGCTGTGGCGTTCGTGCTCGTGTTGGTGGTTCGTGGCCGGGCGGTGGAGCCGACCGCAAGCGACAACAAGACGATGAGCGAAGACGACGTCGACGAACAGAACGACGTGTGTGACAGCGTGTGCACGTGCAGTGAGTCCGGACTGTCACGGCTGCATCCGACCGAAACAGGCCTGACGCTACATTCCACAGGCTGGCCGAGTGACGAGTGATGGCTAACATCTCCGAAATGTAAGTACAATAATAACAACCTACACCGCCTACTGTGAGGCGCTTGCAATCTAAGTGTCAGTAGCTTAACGAAGACAAGGATATATATTATAATATATATATATATATAATATTATATATATATATATATATATATATGTGTGTGTGTGTGTGTGTGTGTGATGTGTGTTGGTGTGTGCGTGTGACCGTGTGTGTGTGTGTGCGTACTGGCGTGCGTGCGGCCGTGCCGTGCGTGGGCGTGGCGTGCGTGGCGTGGCGTGTGTGTAATGTATCGTGTGGTGTGTTGTGTGTGGTGCGTGCGTGCGTGCGTGGGCGTGCGTGCGTGGCGTGTGCGTGCGTGTATGCATTTATGTATGTTGAATATACAGGGTGTGTTATGTATCGCTATATAGCGGCTGGTAAACTGATAGCAGCACAGGGCACGTCCGTCGTGTCATTGTGTACACGCGAATACGAAATTAATTCGCGTAATTATGTCAGGACCATCCATTGTTGAGTCACTAATGTGCGTGGCGTGTGTGCGTGAGTGCACGCGCTGTGTGCGTGCGTGGGTGACTTGGTTTCCAATTAATAATAGCGGAATAGGTTTGGCTAATGTGGGGGGTGAACAGTGTAATATATAATATAATATATATACATATATATATAATATATACAATATATATATATATATATATATATACACATATATAAATATAATAACATTGTGATGACAAACCACGCCGGTCTTAAGCCTACATACCAGGCGGCGGAAGCGACGTAAAGACGACGTCATCAATGACGTCATCGCCTCTGCACAAGTTCACGGCCCCCGCTGGCCACTGTCCGCTCACTGGCGGGGCGGGGCGGAGGGTGAGGGAGGAGAAGCGAAAGCCGCCTTAAGTCATTAGCCACCGCATATATGAATTCTCCACCGTCCTGATGCCCGCTCGGTGGGTGCTCGCAAGAGCAAAGTCGACCTCACCCGCATGCACATTCCGAAGGAGTTAAGATAGTTTAGCAATTCTGTCACTACGCGCGACGCTTAGATGACTTGATGTCGTCACCGACTGCTTTGTGACATGCTTTGCTGCCCGCGGCTGTGACATCGCGCGATGGACAATGATTAACAGTGACGGTGATGAAGTATTATCGCTGTAGTGCCGCCGTCGAAATTCACGACACGTTAAGTTGAATCGAGACGATTTCGCAATTGATCTCGTCACAGAGTGCGGCAAAGAAGACAGACAGAGAGAGAGTGACGCATATATACGACAGTGACGGCCTCGTCCGAGCTGTCATCACTCACACACGCACGCACGTACCCACATAGCACGCAAGCGCGTGCAGCAGCACAACACACACACGCGGCACCGCACGCACGCACGCGCGCACACACACGCGCACGCACACACGCAGCAGCAGCACACAACGCACACACACACCAACGCCCGAGCTGGCTGTTGCTAATATTCGTCTGCTGTGACGTAACTCATTTAAGCGGGCGGACGAGGCTTGTCCTGTATAGCGCGACCAACGGTCCGCGGCCCCGCTCTTGACATATATCGTCACCGCGGCAACCACTCGGAATAAATCATTTACGGCGAACACATACACTTTTGAAGCTGAAATGTCACGCGCAGTATCATGGGGCCGCTCAATATACCCGCCTCTAGCTCTGTCCTCTGTTCTCTGCTCTCGTCTCTCTCTCTCTCTCTCTCACTCTCATCTTCTCTCTCTCTCTCTCTCTCTCTCTCTCTCTCTTCTCTCTCTCTCTCTCTCTCATACTGCCTTCGCTCTCATGCTCTCTCTCTCTCTCTCTCTCATCTCTCATCTCTACTTCTCTCTCTGGCTCTCTCTCTCTCTCGGCTCTCTGCTCACTGTCTTTTTCTCTTCTTCTGTCTGTCTGTCTGTCTGTCTCTTTCTCTCTCACACGCTCTGCTCTCTCTCCTCTCTCTCTGTCCTCCTCTTTCTATTCTGTCTGTGCTGGTCTCTCTCAGTCTCTCTTTCTCTCTGCCTCTCCTGTCTATGCTGGTATTTCCTTGGGCTTGCGAGCCAATGTCCTGCTCACTCCTCTCTGCTCGGCCTTCGCCGCTCTCGCCCTGCTCTTTTCCCTCCTCTCACGCCTTGCCCTTGTCTGCTTCTTTTCTCTCTCAGCTCTCTCATCCTCGCTCTCCTCTATCTCGCTCTCTCTTCTGCTCTGCTCTCCTCTCTCTGCTCTCTCTCTCGTCTTCTCTATCTCGCTACTCTTCTCTCTCCTCTCTCTCTTCTCTCTTTCTCTCTCTCTCTCTCTCTCTCTAAATCTCGCGTCTCTTTCTTCTACTCTCTCTCTCTCTAGCTCGTCCTCTCTCTCTCTCTCTAATATATATATATATATATATATTTAATTTCTTTATTTATATATATATATATAATATATATAATATTTATATGGCATATATTATCTGTATTTATATATGCAGCGTAGAATGCTTGATACAGCGAATGATGAAATCAATGCCAGTAGTTGGGTCATGCACAGGCGTTGTTTCTCTCTTCTTCACTTTCTACCTCTCGGGCATGGGCTGTTTATTAACCTCTAGACGTCCACGCGCCGTCGTGTGGCGCTTGCGAGGTGTTCCACCGATCTTAGGCCATTCCAGCCGACTTGCCGGCCACGGGCGACAGTCTAGGTAACCTTGTGTGAAAGTTTCGTTTTGCCCCTGCGAGTATGTAGGCTACTAGCAATCTCGACTCCCACAGATTCTTGCGTCACTTGCCCAAACATATTGTTGGGTGCGCTTGCTGCCGCCGCCAGCCGCGCCTCGTCGTCGCCGTTCGTCGTCTTCGACGAAGCGTGCGGGTTCACGTGTCTGCAAGGGCCGACAAGCGAGTATGGGGCGGGCTCGGTTGTCTCCCTACCTATTAGTAAGCCAGCTAGGCATTGCACGGCTGGCTAAAATGTAGTACATGCAGCTCTCTCTCTCCTCTTGCCGACTCTCTCTCATCTCTCTTCTCTCTCTCTCTCTCTCATCCTCTCCTGTTGCTTTCTCTCTCTTTTGCTCTCTCTCTCTCTCTCTCCCTCTCCCTGTTGCTTTCTCTCTCTTTTGCTCTCTCTCTCTATCTCTCGTGCGTATGTGATATGCACACGCGTGTACGTGTACGTGTTCGAATGCGTGCACGTGTACACGAGATCGTGCGAGTGCTGCGCGCGCGTATGCGTGCACGCGTGCAGGAGTTCGTGCATACGTCCTCCCGATACATTTCTTGAATATCGGGGTATATGCTCTCCAAGCACTCACCATGGTCCATCGCTGGGTCAAACATTGCGTCAGCAGCTGGTGCTGGCAGGTCAACCATGCTGAGCGTCTCAACCTTATGCGATTTGCCTTTACATAGGACCAATATCGAATGTGTATAGAGGAAGACTGTGAGAGGAGGAAGATGGAAGGCAGCATAGAATATGGTTCGGTTAGTGTTAGGGCTAGGGTTAGTGATAGGGTTAGGGTTAGCTGCAGGGTTAGGGTTAGTGTTAGGGTTAGTGTTCGGAATTGGGTCTTAAGGGTGAGGTTAGGGAAAGTGTTAGTGTTAGGATTAGGTTAGGGTAGTTAGGTCGGGTGAGAGTGCGCCGGTCAGCGTCGTCAGTGTTACGTGTAAAGAGATGGAAGATCGTCAAGGGTGAAATATGTGCGTGTGTGCGTGCGCGCGTGCCTGCGTACGTGCGATGTATTGCATTGTGAAATCAGTAATTCATTGGAACTGGTGCGATCCCACGACTCACGTGGCACCGGCCGATCGCGTAATTCTGTTCACGTTATTAAAAAAAAAAAAAAAAAAAAAAAAAAATACCAAACCGCAACCTCACTGTGTAACACACTACAGCTACTACACTACACTACACTACAGCTACCGGAATGTTGACCATAACACGGATTAAAGCTCGGCAGCAGCAGCAATAGTTGTGGTAGTATTAGTAATAGTAGTAGTAGTAGTAGTAGTATTGTATTTAGTAGTATTAGTAGTATGTAGTAGTAGTAGTAGTAAGTAGTAGTGCAGTAGTAAGTAGTAGTAGTATGTAGTAGTAGGAGCGGCAGGCAGTCACGCACACACGCACTCACGCACACACGCACGCACATAGTGACTCAACAATGGATGGCTTGACATAATTACGAATTAATTTCGTATTCGCGTGTACACAATGACACGACGGACGTGCCCTGTGCTGTATCAAGTTTACCAGGTATATAGATACATAACACATATGTATATTCATACACACACACATACACACGCACGCACGCACGCACGCACGCACGCACGCACGCACGCACGCACGCACGCACGCACACACACACACACACACGTACACATATAATATAATATATATCCTTGTCTTCGTTAAGTACGTGACACTAGATTGCAGCGCTCACAGTAGGCGTGTGTAGTTGTTATTATTGTACTTACATTTCGGAGATGTTAGCCATCCACTCGTCACTCGGCAGCTGTGGAATTGAGGTCAGGCTGTTCGGTCGGATGCAGGTGACAGTCCGACTCCTGCACGTGCACACGCTGTCACACACGTCGTCTGTCGTCGACGTCGTCTTCGTCATCGTCGTCGTTGTCGTGCGGTCGGCTGCCACCGCCGGCACGAACACCAACACGAGCACGAACGCACAGCAGACGCCGCTGAAGGCTGCTGATGTTCGCCTACTCTTCCGGCATTTCGTCATCGTCATCGTCGTCATCGTCGTCGTCGCCGACGTCGTCATTCTATCGCCGCATGCGTTTAATCGACGAATATCGTTATCACGTATACCTCTACTATGCTGCTGCTGCTGCTGCTGCCGCCACTGCTGCTGCTGCTATGATGCTGATCCTGTGATGCTGCAAGGTGTCGATACGCTGCCGTCGCTTGCTGCGCGCGTGCTGCGCCACCTCTCGGAGCCCAGGTAAAGTGTTTCTGGCCGAATTCCAAGAAACGGCCGCGCGGACGTTCCAAGGCGATCACGCGGGCACACACACACACGCTCTCTCTTTCTTCCTAGCTCCCCCTCTCCACCCTCTCTCTCTCTCTCTCTCTGTTTTCCTGTCTTTCTCTCTCTCTCGCTCTCGCTCTCTCACTCTCTCGCTCTCTTTCTTGCTCTCGCTCGCTATCTCACTCTCTCTCTCTATCGCTCTTTCTCTCTCGCTTTCTCTCTCTATCGCTCCCTCGCTCTATCTCTTTCGTTCTCTCTCTCTCTCTCTCTCTCTCTCTCTCTCTCTCTCTCTCTCTCTCTCTCTCTCTCTATCTCCCTCTAAGCGTGTGTATCGCTGGAACACAGTCGGGGAGAAGCTAGCTGTGTTGACAGCGAGGGATGCCGGCCAGGTAGCTGGGCTGTCGTAAGAGCTCGCATCACGGGACTGAATGGTAGTGGCTTGTGCTACATTCTCTCGCGGCAGCTGACGATGGTAGAGTTATGATATAAGGCCTCACTAGGTGACACGAGTTCCAACGCCGGGCATGTGCGTGCGTGTACGCGAGTGTGCGTGTGCGTGCGTGTAAGCGTGTATGCGAGTGTGTGTGTGTGTGTGTGTGATATGCGTATATGTGGCGCGCAGTTTGTCCGGTGTCACCGATGTGTCCGATGCGTACGTCCGTCATGTGTGCATCAGCGCGTGGCGTAACGGTCGTTGCGTGTGTCGGTAACCGTGTGTAACGCCGCCCGAGCGGTGTCCACACAATGCCCGGGGCGGCGGCGGCCGGCGTCGAGCGGCAGCGGCGGTTCAACGGGGAGCCGTTGGCAACGCTGTTGAACCTCGCCGCTCACAGGTGAAAGGTCAACGTTCGATTTCTGCTCGCGACGCGCGCGCGGCGAAAGCAAAACTGGAAAATTGCGGCCACGGTTCTACCTTTCCCTTCCTCTCTCTCTCTCTCGTCGGAATTCTTCACACCCAGCTCTGTGTTCCCGCGATCGCACAAAGCGCAAGAAAAATACACACCTCGCGCGCGGCTTAGGTCGGTTGCTCTCTGTCCTCTCTCGAATTTCCCCTCATCTCTCTTTCCTACTCTCTCTCTTTCTTCTCTTCTCGTGTGTGTGTTTGCGTGAATTGTGTGGGTGAGAGTGAGTAGTACTACGTCAATGCGCGTGTGTGTTTGAGCGTGACCGGCCGGCGGAACTGATGCCGGTGGGCGATCGAATAAACCTGTGTGGGTAGTCGTAGCTGTAGCTGGACTGCCGTGGCATTGCTGTCGTCGATACTTCTCTTTGTTTATGCGCTAGAAAGGACATACCGGAATGAGCGAATTAATTCACGCAATTGCCACGCTGACCACCGCCAGTGACGTGTATGTGTTCTCTTCATTACGCACACGCACAGCACACACCACACGTACACGACGTACACACGCGCCGCGCGCACACACACACCCACACACACACCACACGACACACACACACACACACACACAACTCACACCACCGACTAACACACACACACCACACAGCAAAACACACCGCAACGAACACGCACCACACACACACACACAGCAGTCACACCACACACACATCACACACACCCACACACAACACAGCACACAGCACGCGCGGCTAGCGCGGCGGCACTGCGCCGCAGACGTACACACGCATACACCCTACACACATACAACCGTATACAAACGAAATTGTAGGCAATATCATATTTCACCAACACATTGTTGCGGAAAGCGAACTGTCCAGCGACCGTACATAATTCACAGGACACCTCTCAGATATCAGATGTTTGTGTGACTTGAGAGTAAGGCAGTAATAACACATCTTCATAGTATAGCGCCAAGTCAAAAATTTCAGGCAATTCGTTAAGGAAATAACAAATCAGATGCTAAACGTCAGATCGTAATCGTCATAGAGTATGAGACCACATTAATTGTTATACGTTAGTAAACTCAATTAGAAAAAAATCCAGGATCTGTCAGAATATGTGTACTTTCCTGATTGCAATTGCTAAATTAAGACTTGGTCACGGATTCGATATCATTTACAACAATGTCACGTGCATGGATCGGTGCCCTCGCTAATTACAAAATACTGCTAATGGAATCGGATCGTTATAATTATATATGTATTATAAATATATATAGTATATATATATATATTAAGTATATATACATATATATATATAAACAACCAGGACGGCACCACACGCACGCCACGTGCGTCGTCGCGGGCAGACACACACACACACACACAAATCGAACACATACAGACAGCAACACACGACACACACACACACCACACCAACACATACACAGACACCACACACACACACACATACACCACACACACGCACCACGCACACACAAACAACACACACCGCGCAACACTACACACACAACACCCAGGCCACAGCACACGACACACCCACACACACACGCACGCGCGCGGCGCGCGACACACATATAGTCACAGACACACACAATCGCACACAACTACACAGACACACGAACATCAACACACATCCAATAGCAAACACGATCACACACATCACACACACAGCACACACGCACACAACGCACACAACACGCCAGACAACACGAACACAAACACACCACACAACATCACACACACAAACACCACACACATCACGACACACACACCTCACGCACACATCACAACGCACACGCATCACATCATCACACCCCACCGCACACACTAATACACACAGCAACGGCGCGCACTCACCATACACACACACACCACACGACACAAAACGCAACACACACACTCACACACACACACACACACCACACACATCACACACACACTCACACACTCACAGGCACACTATATGTATATTCCGTACAGAAAGAATCACGAATGTCATTGTCTAGGCTGACCGATGGCCCCTCCCCCTCTCTCTCGCTCCTGCTAGCAACAGTCTATATTTTAACCCTGTGCAAATCCTAATACGCTAATAAATTCGCATTGCCGGGCTTCTAGATTCTAAATTCGAACAGCGCATGCGCATCGTCCGACGGAGGATCGATATGCGGTGTCTGCGCATGCGCAGACGCGAACAGCAGTCCTGACTCGCCGTCTGCTGTCACTGACCTTAGCAACGGCGTCTCTCTCTCCCTCTCTCTCAGTGCTCTCTCGGCAGAAAATTCTACATTTTTAACGGAGCGCTGTGGCGGGGCGTACGTACGCCGAAATCGATATGAATTTATTTGCTCGATGTGAAAAAAAGTGCGAAGTCACTCTCCGCCATAGTTCGGCCGATAGTGGCGGCGCCGGCGGCGGCGAGCGGAGAGAGGCGGCATACATGAACGGGCCGCAGATTCCCCACCACTCCTATCTCTAAACATAAATAAACATTCCGCAATAAAACCCGCGCAGAAAGTTCTACCGCTCTAATAATCGTAATTACGACGCCGTTCAACAAGCAGAGTGCGACAAACAAACAGTTACGATTAATCGATACCGGTAAATAGACCGCGGCGCGTGAGGTTTCAGTCGGATCTGAACATGCAACACATTCACTGACCAACCTCCCAAAACGAAACGAAACGCGGTAAACCACAACACACACACACACGGCCACACACGCAGCACGCACACACACACCAGCACACACACACACACACAACCACACACCACAACACACACACGAGCGCACCACGCGCGACATATTATAGACATACTTATGAAAATAATTTATACATCCAATTTCGGCCAAAAATACTTTTTTCCTTCTCGCTTACATTTCCATCTGCCGTGCGTGCGGGATTACGTAAGATGGGAATCACGTGCTGCGCTGCAGACCAGCCGCTGTCGCTGCTGCCTTGGGAAGAATTAGTATTACCGAATCGGAACAAGCCGCTTAGTCGCGGCTGAGCAGGGTCTATGTCCCTCTCGGGTACTGCGAAACGTACCCTGGTACTATCTAATATACGGCACGTATCATGGCCTACTCGCACTGAACAAATCATGGGAGTCCCTACGCCTACTCCTAACACTAAACCCTAACCCAACGCTAACCCGCTTAAACTAACTAACGAGGTCTAACGCCTAAACCACGCATGATGAGATAGTTACCAGGGTAGCGTTCCGGTATACGGACCGCGTACCCAGGGTACGTTTTTCCGGCAGTCCTGGGGGACATAGACCTCTGCGCCTTAGGCTTGTGCGGCTCTGCATGCAAGCTTGCGTGCGCGGCGCGTCGCAGACAACGTTAGGCGTGACACGGCAGCGGTTTCTATATCCGCAGCGTCGAGGTATGAAGCGACCAATCTCAGCTTACGTAATGAGCGGGAAGAAGGGGGAGGATGAGCAGGCAGCCGAGGGGTGCGCGTGGAGAAGGGCGAGGGGAGAGGGAGGAAGGGGAGAAGACAGGGAGGAGGGGGAGAAGAAAGGGCGGGGAGAAGGGAAGGGGAGGAAGGAAGAGAAAGAAGGAGAGTGGAGAGAATAGGAGAGGGGGAGAGGGGAGAGGGGGAGAGGGGAGCGGG